CCTGCTGAAGTCCATTGGATCCTCTTTTTATCCTCTCATTTTTTTATTTTTCGAAGTCAAGCCTGATGCTTTACATGCTATAAAATCACAACCTAGCACTTCTCACTGCAATAATGTTTTGTATAATTGCTCCTTTGCACTTAAATCTGTGTGTGTGGGGTAATTATTAATTCAGCAATTCTGTTATTTTCTATTGGAGTTGTATAGTGACATTTCTAATTGTTCTAGAGATCCCAAGTTACATCGCTTTTTGGAGCTGAAAAACTATGGGCTAAAGGGTTCACTGGTGCTAAAGTGAAAATGGCAATTTTTGACACTGGTATTCGTGCAAATCATCCCCATTTTCGGAATATCAAGGTAAAGTATTTTTATTGAAAATTGATTTATTATTTTCACTTTTGAGCCATTTCTTTATTTATCTTTGTAATGCATCTTTCAAAATAGATTTGATTCCCAACCATACATCAACTGATAATCAAAAACCTCAACCCCTATTTAGCTGAAGATTTATTGTTTCCATATTATGATTCTTTTGTTCTGTTTTTTTATTTAACTCTTTTTGTAATAGAGCCTTTAGTTTTATAACTTCAGCTCTGAATAATCCGGGTTGCAGTTTTCAGTGATACTGTGGTTCTGTGCAGGAGAGGACAAACTGGACAAATGAGGATACCTTAAATGACAACCTTGGGCATGGTACCTTTGTTGCTGGAGTTATTGCTGGTGAAGATGAAGAATGCCTAGGATTTGCTCCTGATGCTGAAATTTATGCATTTCGTGTGTTTACAGATGCTCAGGTAATGCTTGCTTTACCTTGTGTTTGTTCATGTATGCATTAGCTTAAGCGAAATGGTTTTAATTATGAATGCTATGTATATTGTATCAATCTTATTTCATGTCAACTTTGTGGCAAAGATATGGCTGTCTTTCGGGTATCAGGATGTTGTTTAAGTGAAATATTTGTTTTCAAGTGCTGGTGATGAAAATCTTTTTGTTTGCTCTTGTTGGAAGTATGATATCAAGCATGATAGGATCTTGGAATATAGGTACTCTTACTTATAAATTAATGAAATTAGTTGATATTACGATTCATAGAAAGATAAATATCTTATGTGTTCAAAAAATTAAATGGGTCGTAGAAAAGACTAAAGGATTCATGTAGCCGACCCCACGTAGTGGGATTAAGGCTTTGTTGTTGTTGTTGTTGTTGTAGAAAAGACTAAAGAGATTGATAATTTTGGGTTTTAAATTTTGGTATTTAGATAAGAATACATTTAGTTCTAGTAAATTAAGATCATTTTTAATACAATAAGCCCAAGTCTTCCTAGGTCTACCTCTGCCTTTCTTAACACAAGTCGAATTTAAAACATCTACTCTCCTAATCGGATCATCTAATGGTCGACGTTTAATATGACCAAACCATCTAAGACGACTTTCTCTAATTTTGTCTGTCACAGGAGCTACACCAACCCTATCACGAATATATTCATTCCGCATTTTGTCTCTAAGTGTAAAGCCACTCATCCACCTAATCATTCTCATCTCGGCAACACTTAACTTATTATTATGCTTCTCTTTTAAAGGCCAACATTCAGCGCCATAGAGCATTGCAGGTCTCACCACCGTCTTATAAAATTTTCCTTTCAGTCTTAGCGGTACTTTTCTATCACACAAAAGGCCCGAAGCATTCCTCCACTTCAACCAACCAACTTGAATTCTACTATTAACATCCCCATCTATATCACCATCGCTTTGGACAACAGACCCAAGATATCTAAATCGATCACACTTTTTAATAATTTGATCACCCAAAACCACACTTCTGTCACTAGAGCTATTACTATTAAAATTACATTCCATAAGAGTTTGAAAGATAATGTTGTAAAAATTAATAGAGTTTGAGATAGAATTATAACCCATAAGATCATTGTTGATAATAAGAATTTTAATATTATAAGTGTTTATGCTCCTCAAGTAGGTTTAGATATATGTTCGAAAGATAAATTCTGGAATGACTAAGAAGACTTAATATAAATGATACCTCTCAAAGAAAAAATTTTATTGGAGGAGATTTAAATGGACATATTGGTAGAGTGGTAGAATATTTTAGAAATATTCATGGTGGCTACGGTTTTGCAGTGATTAATGAAGAAGGTAGAACTATATTAGATTCTGCTTTGACGTATGATTTTGTTATTGATGATACTTTATTCAAGAAAAAAACTAAGCATATTATTACTTATAAGAATGGATCTAATAAAACACAAATAAAACACAAATTAATTATTTTTACTTGATTATTTTTTTATGAAAAGAAGAGATTATCGAGAATATAAAGATTATAAGATCATTCCAAATGAGGATTTAAGTACTCAACATCAATTATTAGTTCTAGATTTTAATATTAAAAGTTGTAAAATAAAGAACACTAGAAATCATCGTTATAGAATTTGATGGGGTAACCTAAAAGACACAAATAAAATTATTTTTTAAGAGTAAAATTCAAAATTTTAAAATTTGGAATATTCATGAAAAAGTAAATTCTATGTGGGATAAAGTAACAAACATTATTAAAAAAATGGCAAAAGTTGAACTTGGAGAATCAAAAGAAAAAATTTTTATAAATAAAAATAGTTGGCGGTAGAATAGTAATGTGCAAGAAAAGATAAAATATAAGAAGTTATGTTATAAAAATTTGTTTAAATGTAAAAGCCTAGAGAATTGAGAAAATATCAAACTACCCTTAGGGAGTCTAAAAGACCAATCTGTGATGTTAAAAATTCTGTTTTTAATGATTTTTATAATAGATTAGATGCTAAAGAGGGTGAAAAAATATGTATAAACTAGCCAAACAAAGAGAAAAGAAAACTAATGATTTAACTCAAGCAATGTGTGTTAAAAGTGAAAATAAAAAAGTGCTTTTATTAGAAAAAGATATTTAAAACGGGTGGTTTAATTATTTTGATAAACTTTTTGATGAAATTTCGGAAAATATAATTGACCTTAGTGATCTTAATATCGTTAATAATAATAAAATGTTTCATTTTTACCATCGCATTAATAAAAAAGAAGCTGAGGATGCTTTAAAGAAAACCAAGGGTGGAAAGCTTGTAGGATTTGATGATATCCCAATTGAAGTATGGAAATATTTAGGAGATTTGAGAGTTTTTTGGTTACTAAACTCTTTAATATTATTTTAAAAACTAAAAAGATGTCTGAGTAGCGGAGGAAGAGTATTCTGGTCTCCATTCTTAAGAATAAAGGGGATGCAGAAGAGTGTTCAAATTACAGAAAAATTAAGTTGATGTGTCGTACTTTAAAATTATGGGAGAGGGTAATTGAGAATAGGTTAAGACGTATTACAAAGATTTCTTATAATCAATTTGGATGTATGTTAACAGGTCTACTATGGAAGCTATACATTTATTGAGAGGTTGGATGGAGAAGTTCAGAGATAATAAGGGGGATCTACATATGTTTTTTATTGATTTAGAAAAAGCTTACGATAAGGTTCCAAGAGATGTCCTTTAGAGAGTTCTTGAGAAGAAAAGTGTTGATATGACTTATATTTAAGTCATTAAAGACATGTATACAAGAGATGTTACTTGTGTTCAAAGAGAAGGAGGATTGACCAAATATTTACCTATTTTGTTGTTTACATTAGGGATCGACTTTAAGCCCATATTTTTTTGCTTTAGTTATGGATGGTCTTACTGGGCGCTTATAGGAGGATGTACTTGGTGTATGTTTTTTGCTGATGATATCCTTCTTGTGGGTAAGACGAGAGAAAAAGCTCAATAAAAACTTGAATTATAGAGGCCTACCTTGGAGTCAACAATGGAGTCAAAGGCCTTCGTTCAAGTAGAACTAAAATTGAGTATATGGAATGTAATTTTATTAGAAGTAGCTCTGTTGGCAAAAATGTAACTATGGGTGTTCAAATTATTAAAAGGTGTGAACGTTTTAGATCTCAGGTCCATTGTTCAAATTGATGGTGATATTGATGGGGATGTTATTCTTAGAATCCAAGTTGGTTGGTTGAGGTGGAGGAATGCTTCAGGCCTATTGTGTGGCAGAAAAGTACCACTTAAACTGAAAGGAAAATTTTATAAAATGGTGGTGAGACCTGCAATGATCTATGGTGTGCAAAATGTTGGCCTTTAAAAGAGAAGCATAAAACTAAGTTAAGTGTTGCTGAGATAAAAATGATTAGGTGGATGAGCAGCTTTACACTTATAGACAAAATGCGAGATGAATATATCTGTGATAGGGTTGGTGTTGCTTCTGTGACGCAAAAAATTAGAGAGAGTCATCTTAGATGGTTTGGTCACATTAAATGTAGACCATCTAATGATCTGATTAGAAGAGTAGATGTTTAGATTCGACTTATGTTAAGAAAAGCAGAGGTGGACCTAGGAAGACTTGAGCATATTGTATAGAAAATGATCTTATCTTAATTTGTTAGAATTAAATGAAAATATGACATTAAATAGGATGCAATGGAGAAGAATGATTCATGTAGCCAATCCTACTTAGTGGGATAAAGGTTTTGTTGTTGCTGTTGTGTTGTTGTATTGGTTATTTTATTTATGTTGAGTACATGTCAGTGATGATGGCAGATAAGGGATGGTTTGGCCAAGAAATGTTATGTTATTTTTCCTAGCTTTTAGGTTAGTTCATTTGGTTGGCATGATTTCACTTTGATTTAGTTTAGGGCAATTTCAACAAAAGACATGTAGGAAATATTTCTTCATGCTACTAGGCATAATTGGAGATTAATGCTTATTTTAGCATCAATATTTTTGTTTACTCATCTGAATCATGACAACTAACATTAATTTATGTGTTATTATTTATTTCATTTTTTTAAAGTTTGTTATTTTATTTTCAAACTGCTCGTAGGGAGTCTAAGAGAACAATCTATAACGCTAAAATTCTGCTTTTAGTGATCTTTATAATAAATTAGATACTAAGGAGGGTGAAAAATATATGTATAAACTAGTCAAACAAAGAGAACAGAAAAGTAAAGATTTAATTCAAGTAAAGTGTATTAAAGATGAAAATCAAAAAGTAATTTAAAAAAAAAAGATATTCAAATTAGGTGGGTGAGTTATTTTGATAAACTTATGAAGTTTCTGAAAATATGATTGACCTCGGTGTCTTAATATCGTTAATAATGATAAAATATTCCATTTTTATTGTCGCTATAATGAAAAGAAGTTGAGGAGGTTTAAAAGAAAACCAAGGGTGGAAAATCTCCCAATAGAAGTGTGAAATATTTAATAAAGTTAAGAATTTATCGACTTACTAAACTTTTTTAATATTATTTTAAAACTAAAAAATGTCTGAGTGGAGGAAGTTTTTTAATATTATTTTAAAACTAAAAAATGTCTGAGGAGTGGAGGGAGTAGTGGAGGTAGAGTATTTTGGTCCCCATTTTAAGAATAAAGGGGATGCACAAGAGTGTTCAAATTATAGAGGGATTAAGTTGATGTGTCGTAATTTAAAATTATGGGAGAGGGTATTTGAACATAGGTTAAGACGTATTACAAAGATTTCTCATAATTAATTTGGATTTATGCCGAGCAGGTCTACTGGAACCTATACATTTATTGCGAGGTTTGATGGAGAAGTTCAGAGATAATAAGAAGGATCTACATATGATATTTATTGATTTAGAAAAAGCTTATGATAAGGTTCCAAGAGATATCCTTTGGAGAGTTATTGAGAAGAAAGGTGTTAATATGACTTATATTCAAGTCATTAAAGAAATGTATACAATAACTATTACCAATAGCTATTACCTGTGTTCGAACAGAAGGAGAATTGACCAAATATTTTTCTATTTTTGTTGGTTTAAATCGGGGATTGGCTTTAAGCACATATCTTTTTTGCTTTAGTTATGGATGGTCCTACTGGACACTTACAGGGGGATGTGCCTTGGTGTATGTTTTTTGCTGATGATATCCTTCTCGTGGATAAGAAGAGAGAAAAAGCTCAGGAAAAACTTGAATTATGGAGGCCTACCTTGGAGTCTAAAAGCCTTCGTTTGAGTAGAACTAAAACTGAATACATGGAATGTAATTTTAGTAGTTGTAGCTCTAGTGGAAAAAATGTAACTATGGGTTGTTCAAAGTGATGATGATATTGATGGGGATGTTATTAGTAGAATTCAAGTTGGTTGGTTGAAGTGGAGGAATGTTTCAGGCCTATTGTGTGATAGAAAAGTACCGCTTAGATTGAAAGGAAAACTTTATAAGATGGTGGTGAGAACTGCAATGCTCTATGGCGCTGAATGTTGGCCTTTAAAAGAGAAGCATAAAACTAAGTTAAGTAGATGAGAATGATGAGAATGATTAGGTGGATGAGTGGATTTACATTTAGAGACAAAATGCGATATGTATATATCCATGATAGGGTTGGTGTAGTTTCAGTGACGAACAAAATTAGATAGAATCGTCTTAGATGGCTTGGTCACATTAAACGTTGACCAACTGATGATCTGATTAGAAGAGTTCATGTTTTAGATTCAACTTATGTTAAGAAAGGCAGAGGTAGATCTAGGAAGACTTGGGCATATTGTATAAAAAATGATCTTACTTTATTAGAATTAAATGAAAATATGACACTAAATAGGACGCAATGGAGAAAAGGATTCATGTAGTCGACCCCACTTAGTGGGATAAAGGTTTTGTTGTTGTTTATGTTGTTGTTGTTATTTTATTTGTATTTGATTTCATGCCGATGTTGATGGTTGAGAATTGTTGTATTGGCTAAGAAAGGTTATCTATTTGCTTTCTTTAGTTTAGTTCATATTTTTGGCATGATTTTATTGTTTATTTAGTCTATGTTAATTCCGACAAAGAGTGCAACACGATTATGACATTATATCTTCATGCTGCTTGGCATAATGAGAGATTGATGGTTGTTTTGGAGGGATTTTGTTGCCTCTTGTTGGGTTTGAGGTGTTGGGAACTTAAATCATTTTTAAATTAAACTAAATTTAAATTTGGATGGATTGTGTGCCAGTTCTATCCGTAATTTGAGGTTAGTAGTCTATATATAGTTGTTTGAGACATGCAATTCTGATTTTTTAGCTTGAAAAGGCAATATCTTTCTAGAATCAATGTTTTGAATGCAGGTGTATGTGTGATCCTTTTGAGAGTGAGATGCATGTGAGACTACATAATTATAGAAGTCATCTTCTCATACCGGCATGATGCTTGCTTTTTCCTACTTTGCTGTTTCATTCTTTGTTCTTTGTTATCTACATAATTTATTATTGGCTAGTTTAATAATCCTGCTTGATTTTGATCAAGAAATTGCTCACTCTATAAATCATCTAAAGACTTGGTGAAATCAACAAAGATTTAATGATCTTGCTTGATTTTGATCAAGAAATTGCTCACTCTCTAAATCATCTAAAAACTCAGTGAAATAAACAAAGATTTCTGGTAAAATAGCCACTAATTTTATTTGTTTCAATTTGATGCTGAGATTTTCAATGATTTCATTATCAAAAGTTGAGAGAGGGAAGGAGGGAGCGGAGCAAGGGCGGGTGATTTTCTTGTGCTAGTTGCTTTAATTAACATCCATATAATTTAACTTGACATTCTTATGTGACACTATTGTTTCTTTCTGAAAGCCACATGTGATACATCTCAATTATGAAAGTTGTTTTTCTGATAGAATTAAAGTTGTTGCATGCTACTTTTCAAATGTACTTTGCGTGCGGATTTCTGATGCACCTTTTTTTTCCTGTAAAATTTGAAATTTTGTTTATAGACTGAAAAAATTTTCAAATATTTCCTCATTGAATGTTCAATGATACATCTCATATTAAATTGAGCTTGTTTGTTTTTAAATTTTCTATATGCTGCCATGATTACAAGAATTTTTTATTCAGTTCCATTGTAGGTATCTTACACATCATGGTTTCTAGATGCATTTAATTACGCTATTGCAACCAACATGGATGTGCTCAATTTGAGTATTGGTGGACCAGATTACTTGGATCTTCCCTTTGTGGAGAAGGTGATTTTTTAGATTTAACCGTGTTTTCATTTTTTTAATTTTTTGGTTTTTGCTAATTTAATATTTCTTTATCTCGTGTTTTGAACACCTTTTAGATTCCTTCAATTCAACTGATGAGAAGATATTGAGTTTGAGTGTACTCCCAAAATCTTCATGTTCATTGTCCCATTCCTTTCCAGAGCTTGCTCATTATCTCTTTTACAGTTCATAGCTCAGGGCTTAGAAAGTGGTGCAGATATTTGTGAAATTAAATTTATTAGTTTACATGTAATGTTTGTATGCTAGTTCTACATCATCTTTTTCTTTTCTAATTAACTGTTGGTATTATTGATGGATCAATTATTATAATAAATCATTAAAACACGAGTTAACTGTTGCATGGTGACAGCAGATTCGTGCCATTGTTTTATGCATTTTGAGAAATCATGAAGTTGCAATTCCTAGAAAACGATTTGAGGATACTATTTTAGAAAAGAGAAATCATGAAGTTGCAAGTCATAGAAGGCGATTTGAGGATGTTATTATAGAAAAGAGAAATCATGAAGTTACAAGTCATAGAAGGCGATTTGAGGATGTTATTATTGAAAATAATTATCCCAGCATGGAGAAGATAGGGCAACCCTTCTTGATTGTAATATTTAGAAATTTTAGTTCGATGTAGGAGCTACTCGCAAAATTTATCTATTTAGCAGAGACTCCAGCTGGAGGCAGTACCGCTTGCCTTTAAAAAAGTTGACATATTTACAAATCACAGAAATTCTGCTCCATTAGCAGAACAAGATCAACTATTTTCCAAGGATAAATTATTCAAGACATATGCGATGCAGTCTTTGTTTCAAATTCCCAATGCCATGATAACTTAGTCAGTTGAACTCCTGCTAGAATAACTAGCCTTTGCTTATTATATTAACTAGCTCTCCCTACTAAGTTTAGTTGGAGTTATAATATTGCAACAAACCAAATATCTTTAGAAGTCATTATGGCTGGCTTAGGCATTTATGCTTCCAATTTTTCTCAACAAAAGAGATTCCATATGGTAATTTTTATTGCTGTCATCAGGCCATAAACCATCGGCTATGGAATTTTAAACCCTTTGATTGGCATTCTCAGAACTATGTGTAGAGTGCAACTCAAGTAGTTTTTAGTTTCCCTACCTATATGTCTTTCGATTTTTAGCTGTAAACTTGGAATGCAAATCATTTGTATTTATGTTGTTTTAGTTTCTTTGTTTCTTTGTTTTATGTTTCTTGGTTCATCTTAGTTTAAACATGCCTATGATGTTGGTTTCTACGAGAATAGGATGTGTTTTTTTAGTGTTTTGATTCACTCATTAGGTTTGGTTTATTATTTCAAGCCATTTTGATTCAATTATAAATTTTCTTTTTCACCTTTTTCCAATTCATTAATTCAGCAAAATATCTAATTCTCTATTTTTTCACTTCATTTATTTGGAAATTCATTGTTGTCGGATTGTTTATTGATTGCTTTCATATTGTGGGTTTTCCCTTGTGACAATTTATTGTAGATATTTCTATTTCTTCCTTGTTTGATAATTTGTGTATTTGATGCTGTAACTTTACTTAGCCTTTGTGCCTGTCCTTTTGTGGTTGTTTTCTTTTGGCTCCGTAGATGCATTGGATTATTCTGTTCCTTCCTTTCTGAGCGTTACATTGTAGTTAAGATACGGGTGTAAGTGAGCCAAGGCTGCTTGTCTCGTTAGCAAGCTTGCAAAGTTCAGTTTATCAAGCCACAAGTTTGAGCTTGAGCTCGAACTCAAACTCATTTATTAAATGAGTAATTCAACTGCAAATTACTTTTTCTTCCTAGAAACATAAGATCTCTCTAATACAATTTTAGTACTCAAGGTTGGCGTAAGGGCATATTTATATTTATGTATCTTCAGCTAATCTGCTTTAAATATGGATTTGTTCCAACAATCTTGCCTCTGGTTCTTTAATCGGATAATGGCTTTAATCTTATTAACTATTAATTGATTTTGCTTTACGAGTTGATAAAGTTAAATCCGAGCCACTTGGCCGGCATATATGCAAGTTAAGTCTTTTCATACACCCATTTTTGAGTTATGGTGCATGAATAGCTTTGTAAACCTACCTGTACAGGTGATCGTTTAAATTTGTGCCCTGCTTATTTTTAAATATTTTTAACCAGAACTTTTGAGGTTTCATGTATTAGCTTTTTTTTTTTTTTTTTTTTTTTTTTTTTTAGGTCCAATGCTTATTTTATCCCATTTTTTCATTGAAATGATCTTGGGAATTATCATCATGTCGCCATTTTAGTGATTCCCATGTTTGGTGTTAAGAGACATAATTAGTGCTGAAGATGGTTCATCCTTTTCACTATGGTTTTATCATATATATCTTCTTGTTATACAGATCTAGATTCAGTTGAATTACTTCAAGTTCTGTTTTTTATTTTTCGGACTTCCAATGTCAAGATTCTTATGTTGCATTCTGGACAAATTCTCGTGAATTGATGCTTTCATTGTTATGCCATTGAACTGGCTATCCAGGTGTGGGAGCTCACAGCAAATAACATTATAATGGTTTCCGCAATTGGAAATGATGGCCCTCTATATGGAACGCTTAATAATCCGGCTGACCAGAGTGATGTTATTGGAGTTGGTGGTATTGATTACAGCAATCATATCGCCTCTTTCTCATCACGGGGCATGAGTACATGGGAAATCCCACATGGGTAGATATGCTTCTCATTTACTAGTTGTTATTTTCTCTACTCTTTTGGTACTGAAATTTCTCTTTTCTGTGCAAAAAAATTATGATTATGTGTGCTTAGAGCCATTATTTCCTTTTTAATGGTTGAAACTCACAGTTTCGGACAATCAACCCATTAAAAGGTATCTTGCATTTGTTACAGCTACGTTTATAAAGAACACATTTTCAGCCCCACGTCAATGCGTTCCAAATTTATTAAATTGCACACTGTTATAGCATAAGTATGATGCATATAGAATTTATAAGAGGTTTTTTTGTCTTTAATTCACACTCAAAAGCATAAAGTGCTTACAAAGCTTTCTCTAAAGTTGATCTCTCAGTGCAATGTAATTACATGATTTGGTAATGAAGCTTGTTGCTTTGTTGAGTTTAAGCTTGACAATTTTATTATTCCAAAAGGATTATGCTATTGTCCGTTCAATTAAAATTTATGTCTATGTCCTGTTAAGCTTTTCCTTCATTAATTTGTGACTCGGGAAATCTTTTTATGTCAGCACAGACTCTTCATTTTCTTGGCATGTGAAATAGCTTTGAGTGTTTGGAAAGTGTGTAAATAGCTGCTGCCTTAACCCAAATTAGATTATGGAAACGATGCTGTGCATCAATTTTTATTTTTTATTTTTGAAGGATTAGAATAGTAATTTACAAATCTTCTATGCGATCATGTAAATTTAACAACTATAAATTTTATTATCAGATATGGCCGTATAAAACCTGATATTGTTGCTTATGGCCGGGACATAATGGGTTCTAAAATTACCACTGGCTGCAAGAGCTTATCTGGCACAAGTGTTGCAAGTCCAGTGGTTGCGGGTGCTGTGTGTTTGCTTGTGAGTGTTATTCCTGAAGAAGCCCGTAAAGATCTTCTAAATCCTGCTAGCATGAAGCAAGCTCTAGTAGAGGCTGCTACCAAGCTTTCAGGTCCCAATATATATGAACAAGGTGCAGGAAAACTTGACCTGTAAGTTTTCAATCTCTATCTTTGAACCCCTATGTTCACTAAAATCTATGCAATTTTTAATTTTACACAACTTTATTCTTTCTAGTTGGAGGTCATATGAAATATTAAAAGAGTACAAGCCACGGGCCACCCTCTTCCCCAGTGTACTCGACTATGAAGATTGCCCCTACATTTGGCCTTTTTGCCGTCAGCCCCTTTATGTGGGTGCTATGCCTGTTATCTTCAATGCCACTATTCTTAATGGCATGGATGTGATTGGCTTTGTGGAGTCTCCACCGACATGGCACCCTTTTGATGAAGTCAGCAATCTACTTAGCATTCGTTTCACATATTCGGATGTTATTTGGCCTTGGACTGGGTTTCTGGCACTGCACATGCAAATTAAGGAAGAGGGTTCACAGTTTTCAGGTGTCATTGAGGGCAATGTGACTGTCAAGATATACAGTCCTCCTCATCGTGGTGAGAAAGATCGAAGGATCAGCACATGCTCCCTTTACCTGAAACTTATAGTAGCTCCAACACCTCCAAGATCAAAAAGAGTTCTATGGGACCAGTTTCACAATATAAAGTACCCACCTGGTTATATACCAAGAGATTCTCTAGATGTTCGCAATGATATTCTTGATTGGCATGGTGATCACCTTCACACAAACTTCCACATCATGTTCAACATGCTCAGAGATAATGGATACTTCGTGGAAATACTTGGATCACCCTTCACATGCTTTGATGCTAGCCACTATGGAACATTGTTAATGGTGGATCTTGAAGATGAGTATTTCAGAGAAGAGATTGAGAAACTAAGAGATGATGTTGTTAATGGTGGGCTGGGTCTTGCTGTGTTTTCCGAGTGGTACAATGTGGACTCAATGGTGAAGATGAGGTTTTTTGATGACAATACACGAAGTTGGTGGACTCCGGTTACTGGTGGTGCAAATATACCTGCCCTTAATGAGCTTCTGGCCCCATTTGGGATTGCTTTTGGTGACAAAATCTTAAGTGGAGATTATTTTATCAACGGTGAGCAAAGCAATTATGCATCAGGAACTGACATTGTCAAGTTTCCCGGAGGTGGATATGTTCATAGTTTTGAATTTCAAGACAATTCAGAAACTCGCGGAAAACAGAATTCTGGGATGACAAAGGTTACCTTTTGTTGCCTTTGATGATTTCTATTAAAAAACGGAAGACAAAAGTCTGCCGAATAGAACATATGATCAAATGCTGGAATATTTACTACTATTATACAACTTACTAGTTCTTTAGCTTTACATTTGGATGACCACTAATGAATTGTGCAGACTATATGTTAGGGCCATGAATATTCTGTCATCTTTTCTTGATGTCTCGATTATGTGCAGGAGTCCTCAATCCTTGGGCTTGCAGAGATTGGTGCAGGGCGAGTTGTCGTCTATGGAGATTCAAATTGTCTTGATAGCAGCCACATGGTAGCCAATTGTTTTTGGCTTCTCAGGAAGATAATGGATTTTACCAACAGGAATGTGAAAGATCCTGTCCTTTTCTCTGATTCCTCTAGAATTAGTTTTCCCATGCATGAGGATAACAGCAGGTTACCCTCTCGCAGAACTGATGTGAACTTCTCTACATATTCTAGAGTAGTTGGACGGGAGTTGATGTGCTACCAAGATTCTAGATTTGAGGTTTGGGGAACAAAAGGATATGGTGTTCAGCTGATGGGTAGGAATAGAAAGTTACCAGGTTATCAAACTCTGTTGTTAGATGAAGATCTCAATATTACGAAGAAAGCGACTGGATCGAATAAATTTCGATATAACAAATTAGAAGAAAACTCATCTGGGTCGGTTGTTCAGAAAGGGTTTAGCAAGAGCATAGATTTCTTGGGTTTACTGAACCGTGATGAGGTAACCTTACTTTTTCAAATATTGTAATTCTGAATCTGGAATATCATGCATGCTAATAAGATAACAGAATGTTCAAAACATGACTTACGTGGTGGCAAAATTATTAGGTGTAGAGTACATGCGTAGCTTTGTCAGTTTAAAGTGGGAGTACAATTGTATATACCCCCCTGATTTGATTACGTAGTTGCGTACTCATAGTTTCAATAGTATTCTTGAAAGCAAAATTATTAGGTGTAGAGTACATGCGTAGCTTTATCAGTTTAAAGTGGGAGTATAATTGTATATACCCCCCTGATTTGAATACGTAGTTGTGTACTCATAGTTTCAATAGTATTCTTGAAGTATGAGCACACAACCCTGTACTCCAACTTAGGGGTGTAAACAAGCTGAGCTTGAGTAAACCCAATGCATGATCGTGTGCGGTTCGTTTAGAATTTTTTTGGTTCGAGAAGCACTCATGAATAGCATGTTCATGTTTGACTCAATTCAAATTTGTTTATTTGTTTTAGCTCGTTTGGCTCGAAATAAGCTCAAATGATTTAAAAAATAATGAAAATCAACATTTCTTTTAAATACAATATAAAAAATAAATATATGTTATAATAATATTATTGATTTGATTATTTAATTAATTCAAGCCAACAGGAGCCGAACATGATGGAAAAAAATTTGTTTGTGTTTGGGTCTTTTATAAATCGAGCTCAAAAAATTTTTCGTGCTTTGCTCACCTGCATAACGTACTAATCGATCACGGGCTATTTAACAAACCAAACATGAGATGTTCGTGAATGAGGAGATTTTTTGACAGCCCAGTATTTTATGCTTATCTAGCTACATATTCAGTCCACACCTAATAGTTTCTCCACGTGTTTTGCAACAACACTGCTACTTTATGATTATCGAGCTACATATTCAGCCCACACCAAATAATTTCTCCACGTGTCTTGCAACAACATGCTCTGCACACCGCTGTAGCTCCGTTATTTTTTTGAGGCCTCAAGTGGCATTTCTGTTTCCGATCCACATGTAACAAGGAAAAATAACATTGCCTAAGAATGGTTTTACTAAACCTGGCATGTTTAGTCTACAAACTTGCATCCAAAAAATCTGTTTATTAGGAAATGAACACTTTCTTTCAGATAGATGACCTATAAATAGTTGGCAGAAGGAAGTATCTTTGTTGAAACAATTTATCCCTAATATTTGCAGGAACTGAGCATTAGAGCTTAGGTACTACTTTTAAGATACTGATAATATGAACAAATTTTCATCATTTATAAGACTATTTAGAACTATGACTTTTGCTGTCTATACTATCCCTAAATTACAGTGATTTTTGAATAAATGATGATTATTTCTGTTCATTCATTGCTACCTACAGGTTGATATTCCAATATTGGTTGCAACGCAGTGGATGATTCCAGTTTTTGTTGCCATGACCTGTAAGTAGAAAACTAGAACTGTTAACCTATACATCCACATGTTTCTCTTCAAAACTCCTTTTCTAGCTTGGTCACACTTCACCCATCCATCCAATTCCTCAGGCCTTGTCGCTTACTTGAGCTGGCGAATGCGACAGAAGCGGCGACGTCGAAGAAAAGGTTCTACATCAGGCAGGTCGTTAAATTTATCGTAGTTCTTACTATTATCAAGGACGAAAATTATCTTGCAGCCTCGAATCCTCGAATCACATTTTGAGGCCAGTTTAGCAGAATTAAGGTATTATTTTCTTAACTGCTACTGGTAATGTCAGAGGTTTGAACAAGAGAAGTGAACGCATCTTATACTTGGGTATAAGGTTTTGAACATTTCTGTCAAGATAGAAATGTTTTATAAGTAATTCCTGCTTTTAGGATGTGTTTGTTTGTACTGTTTGTTGTATAATGTTACCAATTAGCAAATAGCATGTCTTTTTTTTTTCCATTAACTGCAATTCTTAGCAATTTTGTAGAGGGAAGAGCTGATTTCTGTTGTCTGCAATTTTTAGTAAGAAAATATAGTGACGAACGTTGGTTTAATGAATTTGTGAATTTATGCACTCTTTGGAGTGAATGTCAAAAGAAATTTGAAATTGTATTTATTATCTGTAATTGTAATTTATTCTTGTGTGTCACAAGTAGGAGTGTAAATGAATTGAGCTGAGCTCGTCATGTCCAACTTGAGTTCGGCTCATTTGTCAACATAAAAGCTTGAGTTGGGCTCAACTAACGAGCATGAGCTCAGCCGACGAGCCGGCTTGCAGGTCCGAATAAAATTATCATAGAAGTTCACCGAAGAAGTTATGTAAGTGATCGATGGCTGGAGAGAATGAGAAGTGTCATGGCAGCTCATTGGAGAAGTTGCCACCGCGATTGGAATTTGGCTAGTCAGAGCTAGCTGAGCCGAGCTGACTAGCTCTATATAGTTTAATAAACAAGCTAGAGCATATAAAAAATAAATATATGTTATAATAATATTATTTATTTGATTATTTAATTAATTCAAGCCAACAAGAGCCGAACATGATGGAACAAAAAGTTGTTTGTGTTTGGGTCGTTCATAAATCGAGCTCAAAAAATTTTTCATGCTTTGCTCACCTGCATAACGTACTAATCGATCACGGGCTATTTAACAAACCAAACATGAGATGTTCGTGAATGAGGAGATTTTTTGACAGCCCAGTATTTTATGCTTATCTAGCTACATATTCAGTCCACACCTAATAGTTTCTCCACGTGTTTTGCAACAACACTGCTACTTTATGATTATCGAGCTACATATTCAGTCCACACCAATTAATTTCTCCACGTGTCTTGCAACAACATGCTCTGCACACCGCTGTAGCTCCGTTATTTTCTTGAGGCCTCAAGTGGCATTTCTGTTTCCGATCCACATGTAACAAGGAAAAATAATATTGCCTAAGAATGGTTTTACTAAACCTGGCATGTTTAGTCTACAAACTTGCATCCAAAAAATCTGTTTATTAGGAAATGAACACTTTCTTTCAGATAGATGACCTATAAATAGTTGGCAGAAGGAAGTATCTTTGTTGAAACAATTTATCCCTAATATTTGCAGGAACTGAGCATTAGAGCTTAGGTACTACTTTTAAGATACTGATAATATGAACAAATTTTCATCATTTATAAGACTATTTAGAACTATGACTTTTGCTGTCTATACTATCCCTAAATTACAGTGATTTTTGAATAAATGATGATTATTTCTGTTCATTCATTGCTACCTACAGGTTGATATTCCAATATTGGTTGCAACGCAGTGGATGATTCCAGTTTTTGTTGCCATGACCTGTAAGTAGAAAACTAGAACTGTTAACCTATACATCCACATGTTTCCCTTCAAAACTCCATTTTAAGCTTGGTCACACTTCACCCATCCATCCAATTCCTCAGGCCTTGTCGCTTACTTGAGCTGGCGAATGCGACAGAAGCGGCGACGTCGAAGAAAAGGTTCTACATCAGGCAGGTCGTTAAATTTATCGTAGTTCTTACTATTATCAAGGACGAAAATTATCTTGCAGCCTCGAATCCTCGAATCACATTTTGAGGCCAGTTTAGCAGAATTAAGGTATTATTTTCTTAACTGCTACTGGTAATGTCAGAGGTTTGAACAAGAGAAGTGAACGCATCTTATACTTGGGTATAAGGTTTTGAACATTTCTGTCAAGATAGAAATGTTTTATAAGTAATTCCAGCTTTTAGGATGTGTTTGTTTGTACTGTTTGTTGTATAATGTTACCAATTAGCAAATAGCGCGTCTTTTTTTGCATTAGCTGCAATTCTTAGCAATTTTGTAGAGGGAAGAGCTGATTTCTGTTGTCTGCAATTTTTAGTAAGAAAATATAGTGACGAACGTTGGTTTAATGAATTTGTGAATTTATGCACTCTTTGGAGTGAATGTCAAAAGAAATTTGAAATTGTATTTATTATCTGTAATTGTAATTTATTCTTGTGTGTCACAAGCAGGAGTGTAAATGAATTGAGCTGAGCTCGTCATGTCCAACTTGAGTTCGACTCATTTGTCAACATAAAAGCTTGAGTTGGGCTCAACTAACGAGCATGAGCTCAGCCGACGAGCCGGCTTGCAAGTCCGAATAAAATTATCATAGAAGTTCACCGAAGAAGTTATGTAAGTGATCGATGGCTGGAGAGAATGAGAAGTGTCATGGCAGCTCATTGGAGAAGTTGCCACCGCGATTGGAATTTGGCTAGTCAGAGCTAGCTGAGCCGAGCTGACTAGCTCTATATAGTTTAATAAACAAGCTAGAGCTTGAGTTTTTAGTTTACGGCTTGATAAGCTCGACTCATGAAAATACATCACTTTAAAAGTTAAAATAATACTATTTTTAATGTGATGAAGTAAATATCAAATTTAGATATTAGATATGTGTATATATATATAAATCAGGTAGTATGTATATAAATGCCCCAAACTTTTTTTTATCATTTTTTAGTGTATCAAATATTTTTATGACTTAATATTTTATGCAAGTCAAACAAGATTTGATTTTTCAAACTTTTTACATGCCCGTTCTTTAATGAATCAAACATGCAATAAATCATTAACAAGATGTTCTTTTTGTCATTTGAACACGTTTTAAAGATAAATTTTATCAACTTCTAACAAAGAATATGTTTAGAAGACACTTAAACTTTACATAGAAAAAAAATTTATTTCATGCAAGCCATTGTTCACAATGAACTTGCTCATTAAGGTTTCGTTTGAAGAAACTTTGGACGTTCAACACGAAGTTCTTTTGAAAGGTGCGAGAAAAAAAATTTATTTCATGCAAGCCATTGTTCACTATGAACTTGCTCATTAAGGTTTCGTTTGAAGCAACTTGGACGTTCAACACGAAGTTCTTTTGAAAGGTGCATCTGTGGAATAAAGAAGGTACCCCACTGTCCAAAATGATAAAAAATTATAGTTCTTGCAAACAAAACTTTGAGAGAAAACGAAAACTTTCACAAACATCGGCGTTCACTACAACACAACGGAGGTTGAGCGTGTTCTCAAACAAAGCCTACAAAACTCAATCTTGTATTTGATTTCAAATCTTTTTATTAAACTGAGTTCAACATCGGTTCTATACAAAGTCAATATATAAAAACATATTACTAGACATAAATTATAAAATTTTGTGGGTCATATAATTAAACTCTTACAACACTTAAAAGATATATTATAAAAATCAGGAACATTTTTTATCATCAAGTCAAAGATAACCTTTGAAAATTTTAATACATTTAATAATAATAAATGCTATATTATTTCTAATCGGCCTAATCATATTTAGGTCAATATCTAGTTGTCGATAATTTAGGGTATGTTTTGGGCAGCTGTTGATTATTTATAATCTGTTGATAAGTAAATTATTTTGATAATCTGCAGATTATCAGAATAAGTTGACTTGTTATTTGAGACAGCTTATTCATAACAGCTTACTGGGAATTGTTGTTCGATAAATGACAATTCTGCCCTTGTTTGGTTAAGTTGTTTGCAACAAAACTGTATATGAAAAATATTAGATAAAACAGATGTCTCAAACTATTACGATTCAGTTACAAAAATTAAAATACATTGCTCACCATTTCGTGAGTATCAAAAGAAATAAAATAAGAAGATATACAATTACAATTACAAGTAAAAAAACTAAAACGTTCAATTTAAAATTCTGATGTCGTTTGTCCTCAGCGGCACTGTCCTCTTGTGAAACCACCGTAACACGATCACTGTCGACATGGGAGTATGTCGGAATGTCGGCCCAACAGAAGAAACTGCATCTTGCTGAAACACCCATGTGATAACCGTAGAATTGTCCCCTGAAATCCTAAAGCTCATGCTGCTACTGAGATAAAACAACACAAAAATGTAGTTTGTCAGATCATAAAATTAAATTAAGCTTTATATATGAGAACCGAAATAAAGGAAAATTGGTTCGACTGAAATACACAATTATTTTCCATCATTAATCGCTGACCTCGCACACCCACACAAAAAAGAAAAAAATAAAATAAAAACTAAACAAAACATAAACAAAACAAAACAAATAATTTAAAACAAAATGCAAATTCATACTACATTGAATTACATCCCAAATGAAAGATACGAAATTTTTTAATAAAACCATAAAATACAAATTCATACTATATAATGAATTACATCCCACCTAAACATATAATAAATAAAGAAGTGCGACTGAATCAACATCCAGATATAACATCTGCAATAGACTCCCTTAAAACAATCATCTCAGCTACACCTTCATTGTTTTGAGTATCAAATTCAATTGAATCGGTCTCATCCTCATGTAATGATTGACCAACGAGAGAATCTGAAGGTTCTACAAAGTCGATAAGTTGATCATCATCAGCCAAAGTGAAGTCCATATCTAATTGACAGGGATGTCGTTGGATGAAGTTGTGAAGTCCCATAGTGGCCACCACAATATGCACCTGTTTGAGAAATGAATATGATGACATATCACGTAAGATAACACATTTCTTCTTCCACACCCCAAATGTTCTTTCAATTACCCCGCGTAAAGAGAAATGTCGTTTGTTAAACATTTCTTTTCTGCCACGAATCGTGTCACTTGCTCGCTTAAAATCAAGAATATGGTATCTTGCGTCTGGATGGGGCTTCAAGTAGCCTCTCAGCATCGGATATCCGACATCAACCAAATAATACTTCCATATTATGAAAGACGATATTAATGAAAAAATATTAATGAAAAAATAATACATGTAATTTATAGGTTTAAGTGAGATGAACAAACATGGAGGTGGGTGACGGAAACACTGTGTTTTATTCCTAGTTGCATATGAAGAAAGACGATTGCCATGTGCACTTCCTTCACATCACGCCATTACAAATGTGAAACATATGTTGAAGTCACGCACTACCATGACATTTTGAGTACGCGATTTTTTCATGGCTTAGTGGTAGTCGGGCATCTACATGCGTATCATCGATTGCTCTAATGCAGTTCTGTTACTCCAAGATGATAAGTACTATGCAGCAACTGCAACATAAAACATTTCCATAATTCTATAACCATTGCCATTCTTAACTCCCCATTAAAGATTTCACACACCATAATGCAGAAATATAAAGATTTTCCAATTGCGCACACCTTCAACAGATGCCAATGGATCCAATATTAGGCTATGAAAATGAAATTACTGAATTATATAAACGCAGATGTTGATGCCATCCATGTGTAAGTTTCCATGGAATGAAAACAAACAAAGCAATGCAATGCAATGCAATGCAAGTCTATGCCAAAACAATGCAATTTATGTAAATATAAAGATAAAAGTAAGAACATGACCTTGCAATCGTGTCACTAGTCATAAAAATTATCTTACATATCCATAACCAAATTTTCAAATGCAACCAAAAGAGTTCATTATCTGATGAAACTGAAAAATGAGTTAGCGTGTCCCTCAAATTTCCTCAACTGCATGACTCACCTCATATACTTTTTCATATTGATACTGAACAACAACTCAGTTCATCAAAGAGTACTTGTGTTACCTCTTATGTCTCACACCACTATGAATTCGTGAGACATCCAACAAGTTGAATTAGGAAAACAGAAAAATAAAACAAATTTTTTTATTAACAAATCAAAATTTGGGATCTGTGGATCTGCTTCTCGACCTTCCATACTTCAACCAAAAAACCATCTACAACAGCAGATTTTTCAACTGCACCCACCCTCAACTGATGCCAATGGAGCCAGAGATGATCAAGTAGATGATCATCTACTCACTGTTTTGAAGCCAATATAAGGCTATGAAAATGAAATTACTGAAGTATGTAAGTGCTAACTATTTGTTTTTCGAACCTTTTACTTCATTTTGCCCATTGGCAGAACATGCAGAGGGGAAAATATATAAGCAACAAATGAAAGAGGTGTATTTTTTATGTTTTTCGGTTCTCTCGGCAACCATGACATTCGAAATTTGTCACTGCCATATTTTCAAAATGAATGCAACAAACTCAATTGAACACTTTCATCAGTCGGTATACCACCATTGCACCTAGTCAAGGCAATAGAAAAATAATTTGTTGCACAGCACTTATAGAAACACTTTTGACCCAAACTTTCCAATATTCAAACAATGGCAACACAAATGGTTCATAAACCAACATTCTCGTGCGAAATAATGAAACACAACAGAACTCTTAAATTTTGGGAAAAAGAAAAATGCTTCCTCCCAACTCCACCAGCAAAAACAAATTAGCAGAGAGAATGGTAATAGGAAACGATATCGCAGCTAGGCAATAGGACATCATACCTCGTATGACACGGTAACGATCACGGTGAGGGTGAAGAGCAGAAAAATCGGAGAGGGAGAGAGCGAGGGAGAGCAAAAACAAGAGGGGCACATGAGGAATTCCCTACCCTAATGCGAGTTGCAGACATAGGATGCGGGACCATTCCCGCAATCGTGCTTATTAACAAAATCATAATGCACGATGCTGGCAGCACGAAAACACGTGACGAACGTTTTTTCCAAACAGTGCAATGACATTCTCAAAACACCGCCGCACCCCAATAATCCCCACCGAAAGGACCCTTAACCGCGAAAAGCTTTTTGTCCGGGTAGTCCATAATCATCAAGTATCATTAACATAAGCAAGCAATGAATTCTTACATTTATACCACTCAAATGCTTCTGATTTATATATCGCATGCAAAATATTAAAGTTATCTTAATATAATCTAAATAATATAATAATATTTAAATATATACTTTTTAAATTTACGATTTTTAATTTATTTATTTATTTTTTTTTTTTTGAATAGCATTCTCATTATAAATCAAAATTTCGAAACATGAAATTTTCTTCATTTTAATTTAAATGCCTTATTTCTAACCATTTAATCAAAATCAAAAAATTAAAATTGAACGATATTAAAACCGTCCAGTTCTTTAGAAACATGTAATGTAATTAAACAAAAAAAGAAAAATAAAAAAACAAAAAAGATATCAAACAAAACAGAGTCTTCCATAAATAACAATAAAACAACAATATTGCACAAATTTATGGAAATAATCCCACAGTACAAACGAACTCATCAAGACTTGTTAAAACAAAGATAGATAAAAAGCGAGGAACATGATGAGTTACAGGAGAAATATTTCAATTTTGAAAACAAATTTGGTGACTAAGCTGCAGCCTTCTCAGTTTCATCTTAGCACTCACAACCTGATGACGAGCGCTGCTGCCTGTTGCTGCCTGCCACATCAATGGTATCCGGAATATATCTACGCAGCCAACAAAACAATCATTCAATCAATGTCAAATGACCAATTAAGCTTTAGCTTTGGTTTTATTTATGGAAGATTTATATAGACATCACTCATTTCCTATGTATTTGTATCTTCAACCTATACTTCAATGTTTAGGTACACATGCCAACTTACTTGTGCGTCAAAAGGTGTATTTCGCTTTTAAAAAGTTAAAATAATGTTATTTTATATGTGATATAAAAACAAAGTTTAGGTGTTGGGCATGTAGATAGAAAAGAATTGAGTGGCGTGTACGCAAATGCCCAACTTTGATCTAAAACTGGGATGAAGTTAACTCACATTTCTTCTTCGGGTTCATTCTTGAGAGCATTCTTCGCTATGCATTGAAAGGCGGCCTCCACATTGAATCCTTCTTTGGCAGATGTCTCGAAGTAGGGAATGTTGCCCTTCGAAGCACACCAAGCTTTCGCCTTTTTCTCCGAAACCTGAAAATGGTGGAAGTTCGTCCGGTGGAAGTTTTGAAACCAAAGACCGGAATGTAATGATGGATTTAAAAACTGTAGTAATGGATGAAAGTACGCACCGCACGACTATTGCCGCCATCGATGTCTATCTTGTTTCCCAGAACGACAAATGGAAAGTTTTCTGGGTCTGACGGGCTAGCCTGATGAAAAGAGAGGATTTATCTCAATTTTGGAAGGAAATTTACATAGCCAGCACACAATCCTTATGTATTTCTATATCTCACACCAACGCTTCTTATTTACACACACAGCACTTTGGTAGTCCAAATTTATGCATAAAAAGCTGTATTTCATTTTTAAAAGGTGGCAATAGTGCATATTTTTTTATGTGATATTAAAAATTTGAGTGATATGTGTGCAAAGATGAAAGTTTAGGTGTGAGATGTAAATACTTGAGGATTGTGTGCTATGTATGTAAATGCCCCTTTTGAAAAATTAACTGCTGGACCGCTGAAGTTTAAGAATTACCTGGATCAAAAATTCCTCACGCCAATTGTTCAGGTTTTCAAATGATTTTGCAACATTAACATCATAAACAAGAACACAACAATCTGCGCCGCGATAGAAAGCCACTCCGAGGCTCTGAAATCTTTCCTGACCAGCTGTGTCCCATATCTGGGGCACATAATAAGATAATCTCAATAGAATATAAAGGTTAGAGATTGTCGAAAGGAGAATAATAATAGGAAGGGAAGCATTCTTTGGATACTTAATTGGTTTTGTTGATAGAAAATATGTTCATAAAAAAGATTTTATTTTCACTCATTATTAGTATGAAAATGAAATGAGCACTATTAAGAGTTTTAAGAAGGTTTGCGGTGTTTAAAATCAATATTAATTTCTAATTACATCTTATCAAATAATGAATTTAACAAACTTCACCATTTCTCAACAAATGCTTTCTAACCTCAAGCAACCAAATTAACTCTTAGTAGTCATTTTAGAAAGCGGATTTTTTTTTTAAACATGCAGTTAGTTAACACTCATGGAAAAGACCAACCTTTCTAGTTCTACAAATAAGACCCACACTTTGCAATCGGGTAATCCGGTTTTGTTTGCATCAATAAGGTTTTTATCTGTTTTTATGAATGAAATTGGGCGAGTTTCTTGGTAGAAAGACTGATATAAATTGCAATGAATGCACCTAAAATCAGCAAAAAAAATGACCAGGATTGAAAAAAACGAGAATTGCACTACTACAGCTGCGTAAACTTGGGCAAAGCACTAGGTTATTGCAGAAACTAGCAAAAAATTCATAGGATTGCAAATAACATGAAAGCGCAAAAACTCAATTAGAATTTGAAGTTACACCCTCGTTGAGTAGATTAAAGGCGAATTAGAGTAACTCCATTAGTAAAAAGTCATATATATTTTCAAAAGAAGTTGGTCATCCTAAGCTCAAACCACGAAATGGCACAAACTTTGGTATTATTGATACATCTAGCTTGTTACAAGATCTTCTTGTGATAAACTTGTATAAACTCCAAGTATAGTCTTACTTCCAAGATACACAAGAGATGTGTATTATACCATGTTCAATAGAAATCAAATTATAAATGATCAGAACATTTCACACATTTCCTTTGGAAATTCATTGCCCTTAAAGCAAACCAGCAAAGAGCACAAGCCTGAGGCATCGATACATAAGGCTTGTCAGAGTATATTCTTGTAATAAACATGTATAAACTCCAAATTATGATCTCAATATCAAGATAAACAGGCGCTGAAGTTCTAAACCAACTATGTTATCTGTAACAAAAAATGCGATAAGTTAGTTCACCTTAAATATCCTCTACAAACACCTACAAAACCAATACAATAAGATATGATCTTAAAGGGATAATTGAAAGCTCTTTGATCATTTCATAACTATTTCTAATATTAGATAATAGTCCTGCATATATATCTTTACTAAGTAAAATATACCTTTAACAAATATCTTTATTTCTTGATGAACTCGAAATCAATTCTTATTTTACTTAATCTTATGTCATCTCCAGATCAATAAATATCATAAAATATCATCCTCTTGGCATGAAATCAAAATTAAAACATCTAATAACATAAATTTCTTATATCTACGTTCCATTTTATCCTTCCATATTTAGATGATCATCATACCTTGTCATCTACTTTTATCTACTACTAAAATACTTAAACCATTTGGCACCCTATAATCTTTAATATTCAATTGAAAAGATTTGTTAACAAAGCACTCTCTCATAAATCTCTAAATCTCAAAAGGTACAATCTTCACCTTTTTGGATCTCTCTCTCTCTCTCTCTCTCTCTCTCTATATATATATATATATATAATGAAAATTATGTTGTTCATTATGCTCTTCGAACTAATTTCTTAAAACTCACATTTAATAATTTATAAGCATAAAATTTGCATATTTTTCTCATCTTAACCTTTAATCAGAATCCAACTATCTTTATTTTCAGTATATCTAATTTTATCAAAACCTCTAAACTTCTTATCTATTGCCTCGAATCTTTATTTATCCTTCTATAGTACAAAGTCAAATATATAAATCGTTAAAAGATAGCTTTTGTTTTACTTGCTACACTCTTTGAAAAGGCCTCTAATTTCTTATAATTATTATAATACATTTAATTTTTATAAATTTTAAAAGTATATTTCTACATTATTTAAAAATTTAAAGCAAAATGCAACAACTATAAGCAACTCAGCGTGAAAAGTTATCCTTGAAACCTTTTGGCTATTTCACTTTACCTACACAATGAACCTTTCCAGTTATTAGTATATGTATAATCTGTGTAAAATATTATCATCATCACCATTTTATCATTAGCCTTATCCCAATTATTTGAAGTTCGCTTTAAGAATCATTCTCCCTGTATTCATATTAAGCACAAATCTTCCTGAAATAGCATACCCTAGTAAAAACAAATAAGTTAAGAAAAAATGAAGTAAAAAAGAATCATTTTTGTGATGTAAATGCACTACATGTGCCACTTAAACCACAACAACTAAAAATGAAGAGTATAAAAGTATTTTCATTTTGAATCTAACTAATAGGAAATGGAATTACCTAAGAAATGCTTAATGCATTTTTCCATTCGCAATCCTTTGCCCAACGTTAGCAAGGAAATGATAGAAAATTTATAAGAACAAAAAAATAAAAAAAAATGCTGAGCCTCCATGCAACCAAAGTGAGGCAAAACAAATTTTATTATCAATTCATCATTACCATTTTCCTGTACATTTAATTTCTTATACATCCTCCAAACCAAATAAAGCCTAATAGAACTGTTTAACTAACTCCAATAACAATTAAAGTTTTTATTTTTAGACACCCATGAAACAAACAACATCATTTAACTGGTAAAACCTGGAACACCCACTCAACAACAGCATCATCTCAGAACAAACAGCAAAACAAGCAATTCAAGGCTTCAAGAAATGGAATCTCAAAGGAAAAGAAAAATAATCTTCAAACAAAAATCAAACTTCTGACGGAAAAAAAAAACAATACAAACAAGAAAGTCAAATCACCCCAACAGCAAAAGAAAGAACGCACCTGTAATGTAAAAAGCCTGTCCTCAAACTGGATCTCCTTTGTCAAAAAATCAGCCCCAATTGTTGCTTTATACTGATTACTAAACTTTTTACTCACATATCTATACGGAATCAATCAAGGCAAAAACTTTCTTAATCGTAACAAAAAAAAAGCATTTTTTTTAACCCAGGAATTGAAAGTGTATTAGCAATCAAAACAAACTCAAGGATACTGGTTCATCAAAGACGTTTTGCCCACCCTGCCATAGATTCAGAAACAGACATATTAGAAAAAGGGGGAAAAAGAAAAATGAACTCTTTAGGTAAACCACAAAGGGGTCGAATCACTCACCCGCTGTCGCCGAGTATGATGACTTTAAGAAGCATACGTCTACGGGACGCCATGGGTAGAGAAGCCTAGGCGGGTCGATGGGGCCGATTGGCTCTTCCTAGGGTTTGCTTCCCTCTTCGAGAAAAATTCCGAAATCTGCACAGCCGAGGTAAGCCAACGAAGAACGAAAACTTGTTCTAAATTGCGAAATTGTTTCTGCATTGGTTGGGCAGATGACTTCGTAGAATGCCCCTTGTTTTAGAGAAAATTACGAAAATGGTTTCGGTTGCCTCCCGATATCCAGCCGTGATCAATCTGGATCCAACTAATCTTACCTTGACTATTGTTTCCCTGCTTTATTTTGAGCTCCACTTAGAGTTAACAACTAAATAAAACTTCTCCATTTTAATTATTTAGATTGTTACATACATACCAATCAAATTTGTATGAATTTATGTATCTAACACCTAATCTTTAATTTATATACATACCGGTGGTCACTGCTTCTATGACACACTCACCCTCTGGGTCATTGCTTTCGCAACATACTCATTTCCACTTGTGTTGCATTTGCATGCATCGTCGCCACACCGTCAGCGCATTCGTCATTTGTATATGTCATCGTATACTAGTGACGAATGTTTGTTATCTCATGATAGCATCCTACATTGTCATCTTACACTGGCTCATTTTTGTATTTACATGGTTCTTCTATCATCACTACGACAAAATTAGCTCGTTAGCTTAGTGACCCTCCGTTGGTCACGACGTGACATTTAGTATTTTTTTACGCGAGGTTGTCTTGGTAGGCAATACTAGCTATCTCACCGTGGGCCATTGCGTGTATGTTGTGCCAATGTTCCTAGGGGTCTAGATGCCCCTTAGGCTTTCTATTTCTTAGGAACAATTTTAAAAATATAAAAATTCACATATTATATTACTTTGTGCATCGTATTTTCAAAATCTTTTGTGAAATTATGTGCATCCCTACCTTAAATCATATGTAAGGTCAACCTTTTCTTAAATTTTTCTATAAAACTTGCATCTAGTGGTGCCTCTTAGAATACTTGGATCCTTAGGATTGGGCGGGAGACAACGACCCCATCAAAACACATGCTAGCTTTCTGACATAACCCTGCACTCACTTATATGTTGTGTTAGGACACTACGTTAGATGGTGTGTTAGGCTAAGGACTAGGGTGTTAGGTAGACTTTTTGATGTCCTGACTATAGTCTGCTGGTTTGGTTGACCTAACTAGGCATCACCTTTTGTGCTTATGACTAACTCTTTTCTGCAAGTGCCACTAAGCTCCTTCCACCAGGCATGACTCATATGCATTGCATGTTGGTAACTTTTTCTGCTAACCTTATTTTCATGCAGGTCAAGTTTTTTTTTTTTTTTTCCTTACTTTTTCTATGTATTTTTAGAGCCCTTAGAAGAGTCATGTATTAGTTTTAAGGTACGTGCATGGATTACGAGGTTTCAGACGAGCGAAATCACGTAACGGAACTGGAAGCTGCTTGCTTGTGTCTCATACCTTAATTCTAAATCTCATTTATGTATTGAATTAAGACCAGACGTGCACTTGAGCGGTGTCTGACCGCATTTTTTTATTTTTGGGATATATTGTCGACCCAGCGACACTCAAACTTTTATTATTTTATATCTGACTTACTTTACTGCTTTCTTGCATTCTTGTGTGCTTGAAATTGGTCTCACCCTTTTTACCTTGTGTTTTTTTGGGAATCGTGTGAATTATTTAAGCTCTCTATGGACCTAAAATTCTAAACTTTCTACTAAAGTTAAATAATAAAATTTTGACACTAATAAAAATTTAAGCTTAAAATATGCAGGAATTTGAAAATCTGTTTTTAGTTTTTGCATGATTTTCAAGCCATATTTTAAACAGGTTACATAACATGGATATCATCCAAGCTATTCTAATAGGGCATCCATACTTAGAAATTGAATAGATAACTGCATCATTTCACATGCCCTAAGGAGAAATCCCCGTGCTTCTTTAACCCAATCGACCAAGCATAAGTTTTATACTTAGGTTATTGTCTAGCACGTTTGGGGTGTTAGAGGCTTCCCCGAGCCACACAAGAAGTAAGTCCTTCATGGGAGTGTTTCAAGCTTTGTAGTTGAACATCCCTTTCTCTTTCTTTCCGGCGACATCCTCGCCACTTTGGCAAGTATAAGACCCACCTCTTTGAGCTTCACCTGATAGTCATAGCTAAAGTTTTGTTTCTTTGACCTTAGTGTTATTTAGGTCTCGTAGATGACGCAATTCACTGATTGTTGATCGGGGAACTCTGGAAGTGTTGGGTCGACTATCTTCACGAACTTGTAGAATTATGGCCTTAGTAGCTTAGGATGATGGGTATGAAGTACCATGACTTGTTTACCTCTACTTGTTTAGTGATTACGCCTCCTTTCCTTTGACTACCCCATTGAGCCATGTAGCTCCTTTGCCCCCTTTGTTGATGTTGTTTGGATAGCTGACAGACCACTGTCCATTTGAGAAATGATTTGTCTTCTGTCGTTATAGCCCAGTTCAGCCTCAAAGCAGTAGGATGTTTCGTAACATAGGACCTAATTATTTCATACGCCCTGGTCACCAATGAGAAGCTACTCATTTGGGATTGTGAAGATTCACTCTCTCCCCTATGACTCAGCGAGAGCTCAGAAGGCATCGGGATGTTTTCGTGAGATAACCATCCCCTTTGACAACCCTTGCTAGTCGTTACTTTAAATGCAAATACAACTCCTTTAATCAAGAGTATTCTTGGGCATCCTACAAGATGTAATTAATCAAGTAGAATACGTTCCCTTGGGATTGCTCTTGACTCCATAGCAAGCAGTCATTCTTGAATCTCTAGTTGTGGGTAGTTTATGCAGACATTCTTTTTATAAATATTCGGTTCAAGTTGTTCCCGCCCGGGCTTGTCGGGGCGAACACATTTGACCTATCACACAAAGTTTATCTCATGTAGGCTCTCCATGTTTTTCTTTATCTTGTTTGCTTCTTTGTCGCACGTCCTTACTTTTTTTTATTCTTCCCTTTTCCAGATCATTCATTCATATGATATGGAAGAGAGATTTACTTAGAAAGAAGAATTATACAATGATAGACAGACTGTCGACTCCTTCAAAAAAAAAAAAAAAAATGAAAGAGAACAAAAACAATCTGGCAATGCTGCTGGAGATTGAACTCTCTCTTCCTCATAAGAGTTGTGTTCGTTTGTTCTATGGGTCCTAGTGAATTTGCAGATTTGCGGCCTTGCTGGGTGTAGTATGTTCTCTCCACTTTAGGGGTTCTGCTTATATTTATAGTGACATTGTTTCTTTCTTTGTAGCGTCATTATTTTTGTGCCTTTTTAGAGCTTGGACTTTGGATTTACACATCAATTGTTATGGATAGCACCTTGATGCTATTTTATCCTCCCTTCTTTTACCATCAAAAGTTCGGTTGCAACACAATCGCATGCACCGATCTTGTTGTATCTTTTTTTTATTGGGTTTTTTTTACCATTCTCTATTTGTGATCATTATCCCTTTTTGCTTGGCAGACAAGAGAGAAGGTGTTCACGATCTCTTCTACCAAAGGGAACTTTGTTTCTTTCTCTCCAAGTGTTTTTTGTGCTCTCCAGGGTGTCATAAACTTCGATTCCTTTGAACACCCTGTATGGACTACCATTGGTAATCCCACGCCCGCTGAGGCATATGTTTTGTGCCCTTCCCCTAAATAGGGGAGTCGTGCATATCAAGCTACTTTTGTCGTGGTTGTTGGCACCCACCCCTTCTGCAAAGAAGAGACTGGTGCCTAACAACAATACTTCACAGCGCCCGTCTGCCTTTTCTATATATTAGCTGAGAGTTAATGGCTTAGTTGAAGCTTTTAATAAGACTTTGGTAAACCTCATGAAGGAAATCCTTTTATGGTAACAAGAAGGAATGGCATGAGAAGCTCTTAAAGACTTTGTGGGCGTATCATACAATGTATCATACCCCCACTAGCTCTACCCTTTACGCTTTGACACTTGGGTCAAAAGTAATCCTTCCTATAGAAGTAGAACTACATTCGTTAAGAATTGCTCTTAGCAACCACATCAATTGTGACGAAAAATACCCGATATAGGTTGGAAGAGCTCGATAGCCTCGAGGGCCTTAGGCTACAAGCTCAACAAAATCTTGAGCTATACAAAACCCGGATGTCCGAAGCTCATGAGCGAGATCGAGGACCTTCGTGGTTAGAGACTTGGTGTTTGTCCTACGCCGCCCAATTATGATTCACCATCAAAGACATGACAAGTTTGAGCCCACTTGGGAAGGACTTTTAGTGATCGACAAAGGATACGAAGGAGAATCCTACTTACTGATCGATGTAGATGGACCTCATCCAATGCTCCTATCAACGAGTGATACTTGAAGAGATATTATGCAACTTCATGAAATTGATGTTAAAAGCTTATATACTTTATAATAAAATTTTGAGTAATAAATAAAATGCACTATCTAAGACCTTTTTTTTCTATAAGCTGCTAATTGTCGTTATTTTGCACTTGTTAAAACGTCACTTAAAATTCACATTAGCTACACATGAGAGAAGCCTTGTTCTTCTCTTCACATGACCTCTGATGACCTACTTTATGCAGGGTCTAGAATTGGAGCACCCACTCCTCATAAATTGGGTAGCCACACATCTCCCATTCATCTTACATGAATGTGAAATGTGTGCTCGCTCCATTCATCATGAATGAGTGTGGTACATATCCTGTTATGGATCAGTTTAGCTGGAAGGCTAAGCATTCATTTCTAGGTAGACCTTCGTTATAGTCTAGCACTCTATTGATTTTCCCATAGGTGTTGTCTATTACTTTGTTGGGGGAAAGCACGTTGAATCAACTACAACATTCTACTTACCTAGTTGATCCATACCTGAGCAGGATGTTTGCCTGTCTGCAAAATTTTCCCCATCAAAGTCCTCTGGTCAGGTGCTTGATGAAATTACAACGTGTAGGTGGGACTACCTTGACATTCTTCTATAAGAACTCCTCTACTCATTCTTGAGGAATCCCTGGCAAGAGGACACTTCACTACAACTTGCGAAGCACTTTTTTGGGCAGACCATCGTTATAGTCTAACCTTCTTGTTGTCTCGATCGACTAAAGTCGATTATGATTAATACATATTATATGTAAGAGAAGTCTTATGCATTTCTTACAATCGATTGTTGGGTTGTTACCCAAGCAAGGTGTAATTCCATTAGGGTGTCCTACACTAGGCACCAATAATTGATGTAGAAAAGACCCTGCATTTCTCTTACTATAGATTCTCGGACAGACGCTTCATGTGGGTCCTTGTTTAGTTGGAATATTTTAACTCACAGTCGAACCACATTAGCCTCCTCGAAGAGAGCTACTTTGTCGTTCTCAAGGAATTCCCAACAAGGGTCGCGATCATAAAGCTTACAAAAGCTGCACTAGGGTGGACCATCTTGTGTGTTCTATCTCCATAAAAAATCATGCTTGACTTGGCCGACTCGGTTCACCATAACAAGAGGCATGTTGTATCAGCTTAAGCCTTTGCATGCTTGGTTGATCAATGCTCAAGTGAGATGTCTTCAAGCCCATGGAAGTACCCTAAGCGGAACCCTTTTGTTAGGTGCTTGACAAAAGTACCTTGCATAGGTTTGACCATTTCGACGTCCCAACCTTTTATGATCTTGATGATCCAGACTCGGCTTATTCTCATGTCCTCGTCAAATGGATGTGTGACATTAGCTAATGTCCTTGCTCATATAGCTGATCCATGTCCAATTGGGGTCCTATGGTACCCTCTCGAACAACGATACTTCCCTCATCAAGAACTACACTATTCATTTCTTGAGAGAGGCTTTTTATGGATGAATGTAGTTGGACAATCGTAAATTAACGAATTATAGTTGGACAAATGCAACCGAATGAATGACAGCTAAACAAATGTAGTTGGATGAATGATAGTTTGATAAATAAAGTTGGACAAATGGTAGTTAGATGAAAGTAGCTGGATGAATACAACCGAATGGATGCAGCCGAACGAATGGCAACTAGACAAATGCAGCAGGACAAAGGCGACTGGACAAATGTGGCTGGACAGATTACAACTAGAAGAATGAAGCTTCTCAGTGCAACGAATTTTTGGCCATAATATTTAGTTCTTTGATTTCTTATCTCTTTGAAAAATAACTATAAAAAGAATAAAATAATGATAAACATGAAACTATGTATTGCTCACTATATAGGATAAGAGTATGTTTCTCTAGTCTAAAAATAAATTTATTAGATGTGTATTTTCTTTGAATCAATATTATTTTTTAAGAACACGAGTGCTATATTTCATTATGTGCTGACTATTCCTCTATTTTGGGTCTGATAGTCTTTTTTTAGGGAATCATCTTAGGGGCACTTTAGCTACACCTATAGATTTGTCTTAGAGGCACATTGGCTCGCCTTTACGTAGTAGTCTCATAGATTACTAACTTATCTTTATTACGATTGGCTTGATGGCCTTATAGGGTGAATTCCTCAAGTTTTACGAGTGAACTCAATATTTCTATAAGAAGTTTTGTCTTTTTGTGAAACTAGATTAATTGTATCCCTTCAATATACCTAAACTAGAAAGCAATTCAAGCAGTTTCATTAGATTCAAATTTTCACTCGTTTGGGGGTCATAGCTCTTCTATAGAGAGTAGTCATCGTAACTTTTAAACTTTACTTAAGTTTAGATCTCATGTTCTTCAATCCTTAGGTTAATAGACTTTTTCCTTGGCTGAGTTATATTTAGAAAGATTTTCTCCAAAATAGTCCCTGGCTTTCCACCCTTGAGTCTAATAGGGTCTAAGAAATTAGGAGATTTTCCATTTTCTCATAAGAAATTTACTTATAAGGGCCAAGCTCCTTAATATGTTAAATGATAGCCACAAAAGTTGATTCAAATCAACAGAGCAAATCACTGAAAACCACCAAACACCAGCAGTTTAATGGTAGTTCTCTGTGCATATAAATTTTCCCACAAAAACACATCATCAAAATTGAAACAACCAAAGGGCCTGTAGCAAATAAGCCTTTCCAATAATATAAAGGAATTATCAACCTTCACTTGGTTTTCTCCACATATACATTGCAGCAATTAAACAATTCCCAAACTTCAATTTTTAATATGTTGAAAAAAAATATAGAAAAAAAAATATACTCTGCAATTTACAATTAGCAATGTAGGAAAAGGTTTGGAGGATTTACACACATACCACTCAATTCTTATGCATTTACATATCTAATACCTATGCTTTAATTTTTACATATCTGGCACCTTACTTATACATGCAAAATTATATTTCACTTTTTAGAAGTTGAAAAAAATAGTATTTTCGACGTGATTTAAATAATTTGGGCGGCATAAATATAAATAACAAGTTTAAGTATTCGATATGTAAAATATGCAAGATCGGTTGGTATGAATGTAAATGCCTCGAAAGGTTTTTCAGTTACTGAAAACCTTGGCTATTCTTTTTCATGTTACCCATCTCTTTGCTTTCGCCGCTGCTCGAAGCCGATGGGATATGACCATACTCACTAGTTGGTGCACTGTATCCACTGCTTTCAAATCCCTGACTTGCAAATGCCATTTTTCTGAATTTCTTCATGTCTTCATTGTATTGCATGGCATCATAATCTGAGCTAACATGAGAACCATAGACACTGCTATGCCCAGGCCTAACTCCTTCATGCAGATCTTCCAGAGATCCATCTCCTTCCAGAGCCCGAACAATCTATATATGATACAGTAAGCAGAGATTTCAGAGATGAGGATGGCTGTATTTGCAGTGTAAACCATTAAAAATGGATACTTGATGAAGGATAAAATTTTATGTGTTGTAATGTTACCTGACTCATCCGTGGCCTTCGCCTAGCGGAATGGCGCACGGAGGCAGCAGCGCAAGCAATCATTCGTCTCATCTCGATCGGGTTGTATGTTTTTGCCAAGTTTGGATCAATAAGGGCATCAAAGTTATCTTCGTCAAGAGCACGAGCAAGTAAAGGTCTTGCCTGGGGCAACAAAAATATGATTTTGAATAACCTCAAAGGAATACTGATAGAACAATAACGATCAATTTTGTATTTAATATATATACCCAATCAACCAAACTGTCATCCATGAAAGCCTGGTTTGAATCGACGGGGCGGCGGCCCGTGATTAACTCGAGAAGCATGACACCGAAAGAGAAAACATCGGATTTATCTGTGAGCTTGCCAGAAGATGCGTACTCGGGGGCCAGATACCTGAGAAACAAAAACAAAGTAGTGGTAGGGATAAGCAAAAAAATTAAATTTTTACCGGAGAAATATAGGGATATAAAGCACTTGGTAGCCATAATGAGAAAAAAAATCTTACCCAAAAGTTCCCATGACTCTGGTAGATACATGGGTATTGGTCTCTGATGCAATTTTTGCAAGGCCAAAATCTGCAACCTGTAAAATACCACCAGTTAGTAAGCTAAGAGAAGCAGTAGATTCGCAAAGTCAAGACAATGGCAAGCAGTTGAATCTTATTTTTTTTTTATGAATAGTTCAGCATCATCATCATTATTATCCTTACCCCAACTAATGCCATGAATCCTTATTATTCAAAAAACCAACAAATTTGAAGTTGAGGGTATCATTATCTTCGTAAAGTTGAGAGAATGCCAACCAATTAAATGATTCCTTCTCGACCACATTACCCATTCATCCTTGTAGAGTATTTATTATATGAATCTTTTTGTGTAACATAAATTAGGATTATATTTATTTACGTTTTTCTTCATAATCATTTTTCATGTCATATTTAATCACTATTAATTAGAGCTTTATTTTCCTTTGCATTGTCATCCTGATTAGGACAGCAAATGAACCAACTTCCTTGACAAGATATTCATGGCACAACTCCAATAGAACTCGTTCATGATCATTTAATAGCTAAATCAACTAGTTTGGACCCCTTTATAAATTAATTATATTATAAACAACTTTGATTGGTTTGATGTTCGATTTGTTAAAAAGCATATTAAGAAGCTAGATTTAGACTCGATAATATGCTAGCTTAAAATGTGATAATATATTTTTTTAATACTTTATTACAAATTTATTTAATACTTCATATATTTGATGATTACTTTAACTATTTTAATCTTTTAATGAATAATAATCAATTAACCTACTAAGATACTCAGTATAATGCAACATCTACTCATTAAATAACAATTATAAGTCCTTAAAAAAGCTTTTAATAACTTTAAAATCTCATTTTTGAACCTGAAATGTTGGCGACTGAATCGAATTGTTGACTCTCTTCCCTCCCAAATTTTGAATCCCTTAAAGCTTTATAAAATAAACTTAAAAAAAAAAAAATTGTAAACCCTAAACCCTAAATCTGTATCCCTTGCCTCAATGTCCCCGAAGTCCTTGCCATTCAGATCTCACCACAATCGTTGTTTTCACCAATCCATCTTAGCCTTTGCTCCCGTTGAACTCTCTCACTCTTCTCCCACCATTGTTCGCTCACTCCTCATTCATCTCACTACTTCACATCTACATGCCAAAATTTTTGGGGTGGTGGGGGGGGTGGTTTGTGCTCTTTGGAAGGGGAAGTCAAGCTTTGGTTGCCTCAACAATGCCAGATAAATCTCCCTTATGAATCACAATCTAGACGGTAGGTCTTGATGTTCCTTCTCTTTTCTAGTATTTAAAAGCACAATTCTGTGATAAAAACAATTGTTTTTTTTTAGGTGCCACGAGAAGGTTTACCACTTGAAGAATTATGAGACTTGCCCAATTGAAACTGAAAATTTACTCATTGAAAAAGATACTCAAATTTTCATGGATAAGAAAATGTTCAACTTTAACAAATCTCGATTTTAGAGTTTTTTTCTTTTCAGAAAAGCATTTCCTTTCTATTCTTAAAGAGCTAATAGAACACATGCAACGAGATTCGCCAATTAGTTCCACATCTTTGGAATATTTGAAGGAGCAGGTAAACAAAATACAAAAGAATTTCACGTGCGAAGATGCACAACATGACCCTGGCGGCTTACAGATCCAAAAGAAGGTAAAAAAGTAAAAAATTACTTCTGAATATTCTACCTTTGCTTCAAACTTGAAATCAAGAAGGATGTTGGATGCCTTAATGTCGCGGTGAATAATCTTAGGATGGCCTGCAAAATTAACAGACATATAAAAATATGGACAAATTGGCTAATAGCCTTGATTAGGAAAGCAAAATCAGCTTAGAAAAATAAGTGATTAATGGATCAAGCATAGAAACTCACAGTCTTCATGCAAATATGCCAATCCTTTTGCAGAACCAAGAGCAATTTTCAATCGGGTGGCCCATTCCAAGGTTGGCCTTTCTTTACCTGCAAAGAACAGCATAAAAAAATTGTTCCTGATAAAGTAGAAAATACATAACTGATCTAAGGGGCTGTCAGTAAGCCTCATTTATGGCAACAGACACGGCAATCAGGATCACATGAAGGTAAACGCTACCTTTTATGCAGTAAAACAAATCACAACCATCGAATTTTATAAACTTGAATAGCTACTAAGGTCTCATTATCTGATCTTGAATATGAACATTACCAATTAATTAAATCCATCACAATGAAAAAGACCTTTTTACACTAATATGGTATAAATCTTTAGTACTTTATGCATCTATTTAACTTGAGCTTACGTAAGGTTATTTAATTTGGATAAAAATAATGGCACAAATATATTAAATTATTTGTGCTAGTCTACATTAAATTAAAAAAATTCCTAATTGGAAAAAAATATTGTATATGAGTTAATGCTGAGTGCGATTTTTGGTATAAGAAAGATAACTCTACAAAGACAGAACGGAGCATTAGGTTTAATATTAAATCAGTGAGAGGGACGAGTTATTTTAAGCTTGATTAAACCATTAAACTGGGTTAAAAAATACCCAAGCCTAACTTGAGCTAAAAACACATTTCAGGCTTGTACTTTTAATGGTTAAGTTAATCCCCAGAATAATCCTGATCTAAACAAGCCTCATAGGATGATATGAACTTCTCGTGAGTGTGACATCCAAATATTCAAAATGTTAAAAGCAGGTATAATAAATTGCACAATTTCATCTCCATCAATGTCATCATTGACCCAGTTGAGAGACCAGCTTTATGTATCCTTCTCAACTGTTGATTCATTTTAAGAGCTATATTTCACTGATTGTTGTATATTTAAATTCCTTTACATAACTTATGAGCCCTCCTCTACTTAATCACAAAGACAATCTTTTATAATCTACCATTTAACTATCACCAAAAAAAAAAACCAATAAATTTATCACCCATTACTACATTTTCTGAACAAAGGTTTCAAGTTTGGCGCAAAGACGTAAATGCAAAGAAGAACAAAAAGAACAAAAAGTATAAAGGTCAAATTGGTTCTTACCATGCAAATGGAACTCCAACGTATTGTTCGGAACAAACTCATAGACAAGCAGTCTCTTTCCATCAGCAATGCAATATCCAACCAATGAAACCAAATGTCGATGATGAACACGACTGATGATTTCGACCTCTGCCTGGAACTCACGCTCGCCTTGCCCACTGCCAATCTTCAACTGCTTAACAGCAACTTCTTTACCATTTGGAAGCATTCCACGATGAACAAATCCAAAGCCACCTTGTCCTAAGAGATTAGCATCAGAGAAACCATCTGTTGCCATTGCTAATTCTTCATATGTAAATGTGCTCTTTGAAAAGCCAAAACCAAGGCCCGGTGATGGTGGAAGTAATTGATTTTCAGATCCTGAATAGCTCGAACCAGAAGCCCCGCTGCTGCTCGTAAATGGTGATGTAGGAGGTAGGCCTCCAACATGAGCTGTTGGATGCATAGGATTTGGGGGCATTTTGACAATATAATCAGCTGGTGGTGGAGCATTGTGATAATTGTGATGTCCATATGGTTGATCTGATTATAAATTACAATGAATTAGAACTTCAGCTTTAATATGAAGCCAAAAACAATTTTAGAGTTGAATTTGAATTATGAAATATTTTATATAATAAATGGACTGTTAGAATTAGTAGCACTATGTTTCATCTTAAAAGTTACATCCTGGTTTACAAGATACAAACAAAAAAACAATGAATGTCCATCTATTACGATCATCTTCTTAATAGACTTATCTCCGCTATAATGTTGTCCCAGCTATGCAAACCATATTTAGGTGGTTGTGAACAAAATGATTCAGATACAAATTGTTTGAATGTTTTGGCAGTTTTCGCTCTTTAGGGTTTAAATAAATTGAAAGCAAGTAAATCTGAAGGAATTGAAAGAGGGAAAATGATAGGAATTGAAATTAGTTTCACCCACTTGTCAGGTTGTTCAGAAAGTAAGGTGGTCTTTTCTTGTTTGGTTAATGCAAAATTAAGTTTTAGTTCTCTGTTAGGAAAGAAAATGTGAATCACAACAGAATAATTTCTCTTCCCATTTTTTATAGGGGATGGGCAGAGAATTGTCTATGGACAAATGTACCTGCGCTACTTCAATTAAAAATTATATTGGAGACAAACACCCATATAAAATGGTGAAGTATATAAATGCGCATTTGTCATTCCTTCAAACTGAACCAAACATACCCTAAATGGGAAAATATGAAAAATAAATATAAATGAATTAGTTTTTATCCAACCCAATAACAAAAAAAAAAAAATCGATGCATTTAATTTTTATCCAACCTAATAACTCATTCATTTAAAGAAGGAATGCATGCTATTTACCTGCATGTATTTTAAGAAATTACAACCAAGCAACCCTCAAGCAAAATCAATTTCCTACGAACTACACCCAAACCAAGCATCATGATGTAATTATGCCATGAACAGTATTTCCTTCTTGATAATTCCTCGAATCCAAGCACAGACCTCCATGAATTCATGGTATTTTGCAAAATCATGCGAGATGTTTTTCAATTAAACATAATTGTTAATTACTTTGTGCTACAATACAAATTAGCAAAAATCTCAGAGTACCGCCTTAATGAATTGGAAGCAAGCAAACTTAATTTGAACAAGCAAATAGAGGAATCGTCAATGAGATAATGAAGAACGAGTCAATTAATAATGCCATAAAGGATATTATTTTAGCCCGCAGAAAAAAGCAATAACAAAGTAAAAAAAAAAACCCTTGCTACACCACTGATGCCCTAATCTGACAATGACATCCCTCAGATCCCCAACCGCCAAATACGACAGAAATATGAATGGAGAAGGTAAGAGACGTCACCTTTCACCGGTGGAGGGGGCAGCGGAGCACCGTAATGATGGTACGCTGGCGGAAGAGGCTGCGATCGACGCTTCTTCCTAAAGCAACAGACACAGACAATACCCAAAACCAACAGAATCACCACTCCGCCCACAGCCAAACCGACAATAATCCCTGTTGAATTCGAGTTGGATGACGAGGACCGTGAAGATGGCGGCGAGGGGGGCGAACCATGAGAGCCTGACGAACCCGGTGGGTTATTTGAGGATGATCCCCCCGATGGAGTTGAATTCGACGGAGAGGGATTTCCCGGAGGCGAGGGGGTCGTTGGAGTTCCGATCGGAGGAGGAGGAGAAGAGGAAATAGGCGGTGTCGCGGCTGCCGGAGGCGGCGGAGTAGAGGATGTAGGTGGGCTCGCCGCTGCCGGAGGCGGCGGGGATGAGGATGCAGGGCTCGCCGCTACAGGAGGCGGCGGCGAAGAGGAGGAGCTAGGTGGGGTCGCGGAATCAGGAGGCGGGGGAGAGGAGACCGGCTGAGGAGGGGGAGCGGTGGAGTTTGAGGGTGGAGGAGAAGTGGAAGGCGATGGTGGGGTGGTGGGATCCGGCGGCGGAGGTGACGGCGTCGAAGGTGAGGTTGGTGAGGGGGCGGCCGTCGGAGAAGGAGAGGAAGACATCGCCGCGGTGGTCCGTTCAGCAATAGTACCGCTCTCTCTCCCTCTCCAATAACGGCATTAATTTTGGTAAAAGTTCTTTTAGCCCGGATGTTTCGGCTGACCATAGACTTCAGCGTGGGGCCACACGGTCGAGCCGGTGGTTCGGACCGCGTTTGCAGCTGGATGATGGACAGTGACGGGGAAACTTCTCAAAACATTCTTCTCCTTAATAATTCATCAATTCCACCGCATTTAAAAAATAAAGGGTGAAGGAATATATTCGGAATAAATTAAATAAATAGCTAATGAAGTTAATATTTGTGATTATAATGACTTTCCAAAGATTAAGATGATATTAATGTTTTCATCATATGGATGAATATAGGAGAGATTTAAATTTTATTAAAGACATTTTGTTTAATGATGTTTACATTCATAATCAAGATGACATTGCAAATGAAGTTATTGTTTGTTTTTCTAATCTTTTTAATAAGTATGAAGAATGATTTACTCGTTATGATCATTTTTTATTAACTTTTCTGTTAATAATGTGGAATTTCATTCTGTAATTCTTGATTTTTTTTCTGATAAAGATATTAAAGATGCATTCTTTTTTATTGGTTCCGACAAGAATCTGAGGTTGAATGGTTTTACTTCGAAATTTTTTTAAAGATACTTGGATTTTTACTGGTTTGGATTGTAATTTCAAATGTTTGATACTTGGATTTTTACTGGTTTGGATTGTAATTTCAAATGTTTTTTTTTTTTAATTCATTAACTTTTTCGTTGAATTAAACATATTGTCATAAGAATAATAATGTTAAGTGTCTTAATGATTATAGACTTATTTCTTATTGTAATATGATTTACAAAGTTATTGTTATTTTATTTTCTAATCGTCTTAAATATGTTCTTCCTAGAATTATTCATTCTGCTCAATATGCTTTTATAAAAGGATGTGATATTGTTGATAATATCATTCTAGCTAATGACTCCTTTATTATCTTAATTCTAACAATTTTTTAAATAAGTTTTGTGCTAAAACTATCTTATGAAAGTTTTGGATAAAGTTAATTGAAATTTTCTTTTAAACCATATGCTTTATTTGGGGTTTCCTCCTATTTTTTGTTTGTTGGATAAAAGCATGTATTGATAAGGTTAACTTTTATGTTATTATTAATAATGAAATGAAATGTTTTTTTT